TGTGTGTGTGTGTGTGGGTGTGTGTGTGTGTGTGTGTGTGTGTGTGTGTGTGTGTTTGCGCTTTTTCGCTGACTCGTCGGGGTGTTTGGCAGCGCTCCCTGAACTGCAACAACACGGACGACGGGCACGTGTACTGTGCCGCCATGGGCGAGTCCACCGTCTCCTTGGACAGCACGCTCAGGTCAGGAAAGAGCCGCAGCAGCTACCGGGCTTACGCACTCTGGAGGTACAGCACGCCCACTGACCGCATGGCTGCTTCCACTTAAGTCTCTCTGCGCATGCTTGTTTCACAATCACTTAACACGACATTGCTCTGTGATGCATCCCCCAACTCTTGACAAATGTCCCTTCAATTATTTTTCTCTGTGATCAGATCTGTTAAGTGAGCCAGGGCACTCGTTCAGCAGCTTCAGAGGGGTTTAACAGGTCTTGGATTAGGCCCGTGCTCGTAAATCTGTCGTCGGGGTAATATGAGCTGACCCCGAGGTTAAAGGATGCCGTGGGCGGGCGGGTGGGCGGGGAGAAAGGTGGCGTGCCGCCTGGTACCGGAGGCCCGTGAGCAGGCTTGATGTAGGCATGAGATTGGAGCATAACTGCAGAGAAGGGAATTTATGACTGACACGCGCATGCATTTGTCTTTGTGGCTCTTGTTCAAAGAGTTGCAATGTATTTTGTCCTCCAGCCAAATTCTCCTCAGCTTCAGGTGCACAGCAAGGAATGCAAGAACTGACATATGAATGGTCTTTAAAAATTCCCTTGATTCCTTCTCCGTCTTTTTTCGTCAAAGCAGGGAGGAGTCGGGCCAGAAGCCCAGCGTCTCATCCGGAACGGCCAAAGGGCACACCGATCTCGACGGGCCTCTCTTCCACAGAAGTGGCTCCAAGGCAGATGGTGAGTGTGTAAAAAAAAAAAAAAAAAGGATTGAAGTTGAATGTTTTCATCTCACCGCGCCTCCTTCTCCTCGCGTCAGACTCCGACTCGGACAGCGAGCTGTCGTTGGACGAGAACAGCTCCTCCTACGCCTCGTCGCACTCGTCGGACAGCGAGGACGACGACATGGACGTCAAGCCCAAGTGGAACAACGAGAGGCAGCCGGCTCACAGCACGCCTAAAGGTAAGAGTTTTTGTTTTAAGGCACTCGGGGGAACATTACTGTAGAGCAGCAGATGATGAATTATTTCTGCTCGTTGCCATGAGTTGATCATGGGGATGAACGATCAATCCAAGTCAAACCAACATACTACAGTAGCAACAAAGAATACGACAGAGGTTGCCGTTAACCTTTCCATCATTGAACATGGCCGAGAAGTCATTGTTTAACGTACCATACACAGGCATGATTTCAGGAAATCAAGTGTACACATATCAAACTTACCCAGCACATACAAGCAGGAACAAACCTCAACACTTAGCCAAGTTTGATTTAATAAATAATGCAACAACTGATTGAAAAAAAATAAATAAATTCAGTCCCTTTATTTTAAAACAGCCAAAAAAAAAAAGGATCAAATTAAGGCAAAAGTGTCGTTTTCCAAAGTAAAAGCAAATGTTTTATTTTGAGTCAACACAAACATAGAGGCAACAATTAATCGAAAATGTATCAATTATCAAATTAATTGATTATTATTTTTGATAGTTGATGAAGACATTTTTCATTGTTAACCGTTTACCCTTCCAGTATCCAATCACGTGACGCCGTACTGGCCGACGGACGCCGCCACGGCCAGCGACAGCGAGGAGCCCGGCGCTCCGGAGCGCCTGCGTGTGGAGACCAAAGTGAATGTGGAGCTCCACCCGGAGAGCAAGATCAACCACATCGGGGACCGGGACAGGCTCGAGACTTCCCCTCAGGACCAAGACAAGCACGTGGCCGGAAACACTAAGGAGGCAATGATGCCCGCCGGTCAGACCAATAGCAACCACCAGCCTGAACAGAGAAAAGGTCAGAGAAATTCCGTTTTTTTTTTTTCTTCCAACTACAAATCCAAAAAAGGATGCCAACTGATCTGTTGCTGCCAGGGATCCTGAAGAACAAGATCACCTACCCGCCCCCTCTGACCGACAAGAACATGAAGAACCGTCTACGGGAGAAGCTGAGCGACTACAATTCGCCCACCATCACCTCGCCACCGCCAAACTACAACATGGCCACCTCCCCGTCCCCGACGTCGGTCAACATCATGGCGCCGTCGTCCCGCCGGCCCTCGCTGGCCTCCAGCGACGGCGGTCGCCCCGGCAACAACGGGTCGCTGGTCAAACCGCCCTGGCGATGCACTTGAAGTCGGCGACGGTCAACGGCACAGACTCAGAGTGAGTGGAATATATATATTGGTATTATATCTCCATTTTATATGAATATACAAATAGAGGACGCGGTACATAACTAAATATAGATAATATAAAATGTAGCAATTTTTTTTGGTTTATATTTATTTCATTTTCATCATTTAAATTAAAATGTGTATTTAATTACATTTTTTACTTTGCTTAAATTTATTTTGCATTTATTAACCTTAACGAGTCTTCGATCTGACCTGTTAGGGACATCCAGACCAGCCCACCGTTATGAGAGGAGGAGACCGGACCCCCGGGAGAGACCCACGAGTCCGGAGATCAGTATTAACCCAGTCGAAGGAAAGAAGGAATGATAAAGGGAACAAGAGGGAGGAGGAGGATGGAACCCGGAGTGCCAAATGCATCAAAGGAATAAAAAGGGGGGGGCGGGGAAGCAGAGACTCGAAAGTTGAAGACGCCCCCCTTGGAATGTATTGCAAGTGTGACTGGTAGGAAACACGTTGGTACATTAGTCCCATAGGATTTCAAAGAAGGCAAAAAAAAAAGTGCTCCTTTTGTTTTACTTTTGAACTCGGAGAAAAGCTCTCAAATTTGGTGAAAAGATGGCGGAAAAGCATCTACTTTTTTTTTTTTTTTGAATCAAACTTGAACAATCAGGAGATGAGCATTGAGGCCTCCCAAATGCGTTTTATGTTGAGAAGAAAGAGCACTAACGGAAGGATGGAAACACTGAAGCACTATAAAGCCGTTTTTCACATTTATCGTGAAGATTCTCGATGGAATTCTCCAGTTGGAAGACCAGAATCCACCTCGCAGCTACTCTTTAAGTTATGTTTACCACTCACAAGGGTGCCTTCGTCTTGTTTCCGCCTGTGTGATCAATATTGTTTAATACGTGGTTATTTTTGTAACGTTGGGACACTGGAAATGTTTTGTAACATAATGTATATTTATTTTTTACGGTTCTAAGACACTGGAGTTAAGTCTGACAAATTAAAGATGTTGACTTTGTACTTAATGTTTTTGTTTTTGTGTGTGTGAGTGCCACCCGAGAGATGAAAGAAGAATATCGGTGAGTGCCGATAAGAACGTTACCTTACAAGGTTATGGAGCTGTTCCAGTCTCCCCTGACATTATTTGCATTTTTTCCACTGCTCAGACCACTCACACGAGGCCCGCCGGCACTCTGAGGTAAGCCCCCAGATATTGTCCAGTACATTAATGAGAGGAATGTTTTTCTGGGGTTTACGTGGCAGATTGGGGGAGAGGCAGTACGGCGTTATGCAGGTTGGGGATGAGGCATGGGCTCTTCATAAATTGGGATAAAATCAACACTTGGCTCGATTTGATTCAGTTCACACGTCTGCTGCCATCAGGCAAGCATATTATGTGAAAGGTTCGAAGGCCGAGTCAGGTTGCAAGCCAACTTGGGGCTTTTGTTGTCTTAGCCACTGATGCCTCCCTTCAAATTGAAAGGATATTGAACGTATAACATATTTGTGTGTCACATATTTATTTGCCTAATGAGACACGGGTATTAAACTACGTTACTTTATTCATGCCAAACAAGTACCTAGTAACGAGAATTTACAGGTGAGCCAACCACCTTATATATTAGAAGTGCAATTCTTCCATCTAGTGGAGGGTCCGATAATATAATTGAAATTCTCTTTTGCGACAGGCTGCTGCCATCTCGCGGCCAATAATCGAAATTGATCCTTCACAATAGGAAATAGCCATGAAATCTCAGTCGGCCTTTTCTTAAAATGTGACGGGATACATAGTACAAAAGTCAGTAAATCCACCTTATTTGTATAGCCGCACTTGATTTTTCCAATAAAGAAAATACCAAGTTACTGTATATTAACCATAAAAATAATAACATAAAAAATAATCCCATTGCTATTCATGGTTGTCCAAGAGATTAAAAAATTTTTGAATTAATATAAATAATTGATCCGAATTAATGGATTATAACCCCCAACCCCACCTTGTTTTTCGTGAAAAACTCGTATTGAATGGTTATCTGTGCTTTTCCGGTCCGTTGTGACGTAACAACTCTGTTAATTGGCAAAACAACCCCTGCACCGACCAAAATATAGTTACATAGAAACGTTAATTATACCACATGGTCATTTAAATGAAAATTTGGCATGACTTGTATGTACTTATGCTTACCATTTTTTTAAACATTTGTTTATTTGACAAATTGTGCACGTGGGGTCTCCCTCCCTATGCGAAGCCACTTTAATATGTCCCTCTGACGTCACTTCCGTGGCCCTTCCCTGCCTGTCACCAGTGCGAAGACGAAGCTAGCGGTTTCACTGCACGCCTCGGGCTGAGGCTAACGGTGCTGGCTGACGCTACCGGCGGCACTTTTCATTCTCAGCTGGAGCGACGACACTGGTATTTTATTTTTGTTTCCTGCCTTCTCCGCCTTCCAGCACACGCGCACAAAAAAGAGAAGTGATCCTTTTGGACGTTGCCGTGATGGACTGACTGAGCGACGGGAGCATATATTTTTTTTTTTCACCGCGACACTGGCGGTCCCCTTGGACGTCCTGAGCAGCAGGTGTACTGACGGATAAACGAAGGACAATCTCAGTGTTCATGAAACTTTGCTACGATTTACGCGCTGGGTAAGAAAATATGTCTTTTATTTTAAAAAGGGGTACTTGGGGCGGTTTGTGTGGCACGTGCCGTGGTGTTGCAGTCAAGCTGACAAAATGACGGTGTATTTTTATATTTCATGCGTCGTTTGCTTAATTAAAAAAAATGAAATCGTTAACCAAAATTAAATGTGTACCGTGATAGCGGCAATTCGCCGCTACGTTATGCTAGCTGGGCCTTCTGTAGTGGTTCAACAGTATCAAAATATTTATCGTCCTCCTCCACGACCACTTACTTAATTATACTTGATTGTTTTTCATGTCCACGAACAACCTCTATAACCGAATCTAAAAAAAATGTTTTGTGGAATATTTTAACAACTGAAAAAAATCTAATAAATAGAAAAAAAGATCTATAAAACAGAATAAAAAAAAACAACAGAAATGAACGCCACCCCTCAAACGTATTTTGAAAACCAGGAAAAAAAAACATAAAATTGAAAACTTTGAAATACAGAAACCGAAAAGTAATTAAAAATCAAAGCCTCACCCCCAAAATTGAGAGCAAAAATATAACATCCACATCTTTACCTTTTAGCTTGCAAAAAAATCTTACAGATATTTCAAAGTGGGTATTGTGGTGCATTCTTAGTGCACGTAGGAAGCTCGAATGGTTCAAATTCCATGACGCCTCTATGCCACATGCCGCAAAAAAAAAAAAAACGTACTCCCACTTGACATTGGAAGGAAAGCAGATTTGTCTGTCAACCCCACTCGGCCCACCTACACTTGATTTATAACAATCATGACCCATACTTCATTTTATGTGAGGGTTGTTGCATTTTTCAATCTGGATTTGAAAACAGCTGTCCACTCCCCACTGTATTTTCCACTTGAGAAATTGACCTGCTGTTCACAACCTATCGATCATCTCTTGTTTATGTAACCGCCGTGATGATCTAATCGCAGCATATGAGTTGGCAGCAGTAATTACATGATGAACATGTTTGCTAAACATCATTATTTTGAGTGCTGAGTGACTAAAATAAGCCCCAGACCTGACCCGGTGTTGCCTTTGCACATTTTGGGTTTGCTCAACCATCTTGACGTTGGCCCCAAGGCATTTCTCGAACATTCCTTGATCACATCCACCATGGAAAGTACGGTGTGTAGCACACATACTGCAAGTAGATGTCAAAAATGCAAACATGCTTCTCTACCATCACCACTTGGGATGCTTAATCTGCAAGAGTTATTTTAATCCCTCTCTTTGTCAAGGAATCGCCCACGGGGAGAGCCCAGATAATGAGGGGATGACCTAGTATGTTGTTTTGGATGGAAATCGCGATATTCAGCGGGGGGATCGCAGATTGTTTTTAAAAATCGTTCAGCCCTACTTCTATATGATGCATTCTATTTTTGACCTGCTGATATAGGGCGGGTTTACTTCTGGAGAGCCTTTTTATAGCGCGTAATCCACAGGCAGCTGTGATTGGCTGGCGCGCCGTCTGTGACCTGCATGGCCGACCGACAGTAGCCTCCATTTACTATAGGTCATTGGCAGAAGATTACACAGGCACACTCTTCTACTATGCGTATGATGGCCAGAAGTTATTTCTAAATAGTAACACTTAAAATAGTTAACGTTCTCCAATTCATTCCGATAGTTCAATCTTTTTTTCCCCCCCAGTGTCATTGCTTCCATTTTTTCAGTTTCACCTGTTAAAATGATGGCAGCATTTGGCTCTCGGGGAAGTACTCGCAGGGGCTTTTGGGGCAAGCTCAAAAGTGTCGTGTGTTCACTTGCTCATTTCACCGTGACACGGTGCGGAAAAAGGAAGTGTTTAATGACCTGCCACTCGCGCCATTTCTATTCGCGTTCTCCCGGAGGCAACACCTGCCCACCGGTTGAAGCTGCAGTCTCAGGAGCCCGCGTGGGTGGGCTGTCTACAAATAAATCGAAAAGGAGCAGGTCGCTACAATCATGTCGCATCGGGAAATACTCGACTAGACTCTTTATTTGTTTTCGGGTGCATCTCAGCTCACTCAGGCTACGCAAATTGTAACGGCAAGTCTCTGTTTATATTTCAATTTTATTCAGAGCAGCTATGTTATGTAAGGACATGAATGTTTGATCGGCATCGATTCAAATCAGGATTGGTTGCAGCAGCAGACGAATGAATGAATGAAGAATGCAGCGGGACTATTCTCGTCTCCCTCAAGCCTCCAGCAGGTCGTGATGTAAAATTTAAAACCTGTATGACAGATGATGTGTATTATACAACAGGAACACTCCAAATCGAAATTGGGCATGATGACATTTTTCAAGTGCTACATTCGGTTCGTGACGTCACTCGTTTGTTTTTGTATTTTATATTACGCTTTTATTTTTCGTTTTATGAACAACAAAAAGCGGCTGGTGAACAGTCTGAACCGGGTTGCCAACAGTCAATATAGCATGAGAGTTTTGCCTGCTCCCCTGCAATCACTCCCACCATGGAAATGAGGCCAACTGATGCGCTGCGGTCACGTACGTGTCAGACGGGTGAAAAGGATATGGTTGTCACGGGTTACAAGCGCGCGCATCCTGTTCAGACTGAAGGCCGACTGTCACAACGCTGTGCTTGTGGTTCCCCTCCCCAACAGGGTTGCCATCCGCCATGTTAAGCTAAAGCCCAGGTGCGCGGTGTTGACCATGCTCAAGCGCCTGGACAAGATCCGCTTCCGAGGCCCGAGGACGCGGGACGACTTCCCCGAGCTGGGCGACTCGCCGCCCGCCTCCGACAACGAATGTAGCGACGACGTGCCGCCCAAGCGCGCCGCCAACGACGAGCCTCCGCGAGACCCCGTAGGTGCTTCTCAAAACACGACACAAAACTGTTTTCGCTGTTTTAGCCTTGACGGACCCCGGATGCTTTTGTCAAGGTGGTATTTTAAGGCACTCATGAATTATTCTGCTTGAACATGCGGCTCGGATCTCCACACCCGAGCAGTTGGAAGATTGCTTTTGCTTCATATTTCCGAGCCACCTCGGTGCTATCAATCACGATTTCCCAACCCTTAGTGACCCCCCCACCCCAAAAAAAAAACAAACAAACAAAAAATAGTGCTTGTTTGCTCTCTCACTGTTTTCTTTTTTCCTAATAAGCAAAACATTCAATATGTAAAGACCAACATGTCAAATCAAACTCGAGAGCCCGCTAGCTTCATGCTAACATATCATGTAAAGCGCCATAGGCTGGCTAACGTAAATTAGCATACATGTTGCTGTCATCATAAACATTCAAACAACTACTAGTTTAACGCACACATGTCGCAAATACAAACATGACAAATGGTACTCACAGGAATGGATCTCGTATTCTCTCTGTTGTGTATTTTTTATTTTTTTCACGGAGCCTTTA